CCCCCTGTGGGTGCTTATAAGATCTAGGCGAGGTCGAAGTGAGAATATCTAATGGGAAGAAAGGCTGTGTAAAATAAAATGAAGAGGTAAGTTCTACTCATAGCATTGTGGAAAAAATCAACTACCGGACCTTCGTCATCTCAAGCCAAATAGGGTGAACACAATTCATACAAGTAGCTATGCCATCTGTAATGGCAAATACATATTTGTCTCAGTAACAATGCAAATATTACCAACTGGCACCCGTGGCCATGTGGCCAAGCGTATCGAAATTAAACGCCACACTATTCGGGTTAGAGTCCCGCCTGATCTGTAAAAAAAATCAGTTCAGGCGAGGTCGAAATGACAGTCCAGTCTAGACTAAATGAGAATATGATATAGTAGGCAAGGCTGGATTGGCATCGTGAAAGCTATTCATTTGATTGTGTGACAATTCAACTATCAATCCTTCACCATCTTATGAGACTTAGGGTTAGTATAGCTCTTAGTCAAAATCCACTGGTATTTTTTAGACATTTCAACTTTCGAATACTCTAAATAATTATCCCTCCTGGTAATAAGGTACATGCTGAACTAGCCTCCGTCATGTGAATATGGTACCTCAAATAGTGGCTATTTCTTGGGTACAACAAGTGCAGTACCACAACCGGGCTCATTTAATCATTTTTCATGGAAGATGAGCCTCGGGGCCACTTTTGAGCCTATTAAAAGGATTTGTTTTCCAAGTTTTACGAAAGTTTGAACGACTTCTTATATTACACTACTTTGAATGCCTACTCATCGCATTGTAGGAACATTCAACTATCCAATTTTCATCACTTTATATGACCCAAAGTGAGTACTCTTCCTCTACTTGATATGTATTCATCTTATTTCTCTGAAAGGGATGAAGGACTGGTAGTTGAATGTTCACACAATCGGGATCCGGGATCCCGAAACTAGACGATCCCACTCGTCCCCAATGACGACGAGATTGTGTGAATTTGTGCACAACTTCAGGCTGGCCTGGGAGTTGGGGATGAGGGCAACTTACACGTCGATAGGTCCGTACTTTCTTTACCCAATCGTAAAGGTAGCTGGCCATAAAGTCGATCGGATCTCGAGGTTGGTGCAGCAGAAGCGCCGTCAGAGCGTCTCGAAGGGGCTCAGCAAACAGTCGAGAGATGTAGGCACTTTCGAAGTGTCTTTCGCTTGACGACATCCTCCTTCCGGTCGACGGTGGTTGTGCCTTTTTGGCCAAATTCCGAAGTACCGAATGGACTGTGAGAATGGGCTACTTTGAGACGATCTACAAAGCGGCTGTGGCCAAAGGAAAATGAAGGCCTAGCTGCGGAGCACCTCATCGGAGAAACCGATTTGCCGCCTTCGGAGAGCTTTTAAACATGGGCTTCTATCGACCAGACGACCACTT